TTACTACAGCAAAATAGGTTTATAGCGTCATTTTTTTTATATCTCGCGGCTTTTAAGGAAACAACACCACAAAATAATAAAATTACCGACGGTTGCAGGAAAGCATTACAATAATGATGAATTGTTGATGCTCGACACAAAGGTCGGCATTGCTAAACTGCGATATGAAATGGAAAGGAGAAAGGAAATAGACGATGGAAAGCACAGAGAGTGTTAAGTTTTTTTACTAACAGTAGAAAATGGCTTAATTGGTATTCAACACATTACAATGATTGGGTATTTATAACCTAATATTAACAACCTAACAAATCTACAAATTCTTAACTAATTGCCAACTAACAAATAATCATGTACCTATAGTGGCGTTTTGCTAAAAACGTCGCAATATATTGATATACAGTGACATTTTTATATAAACACCACCGAAAACTTGTACTCTAGTGGCGTTTGATTGTTGAATGCCGCAATTGTGAATTGTTTAGCGGCGTTCCCAATTAGTGAACAACTTTACTTTCTCTCCTTATTCTTTAAAACTTAACCCTCATTTCTTCAATTTTTACCCTTCATTTCCTTTTTTTTCCTCACAATCCTCGTTCGTTTCCAGAAGCCTTCCTTCTCATTTCCCTCTCTGCGTTGCTCTTAGTTCGACTTCCATGGCTGGTAGTGATTCTGACTTGCACCTACTCTCTCTTCCTTGGAGAAGCAGTATGAGAAGTTCCATATCTAGCAGCAGGAATATTGCCTTCATCACCGTCAATGGATGATTTGATAAACGTTGAAGTGGATACAACCAAAGCCTTAAGGACATCTTCCGCCAGCAAAGGTATCCTTAACTCATGCCTTGGGGCAGGAGCCTGTGGGGGAATGTACATGGCGTCTGCAATTGAAGCTATGGGAATGTCTCTTCCTTACAGGTAGAACTGTGCTCTCGGGACTGCCTTTTTGGACTCACTATTGTTTGTTTGTAACTGACAAGCTCTTCAATACCTACTTTTCAGATTCTAAATACACATTTCAGCCAAGTAATATTAGATAAGTATGTGAGGATTGATTTCAAAAAGGAAAGCACTCATTCGAATGAATGCTTGTATTATTTTTATGTTGCAATGTATTATTCGAAAGAATATGCTATCTTAAACATTCTGAGTTCTAACAGAAATATACTAGGTATCGTACAGTAATACTTCTCAAGTGAATTTTGTGCAATATGTTGCTCTGGTTCTCCCTTTTATCGTTTCTTATACACATACATTCATTTAATACATTCAAGTGTAGGTAATCTAAATTTAGGTATTGTTGTCCTATTTCAATGATTCATTTATTTAATTTTATATTTTTCTTTTGCAACCTGTCATTTTCAAGGCAATACATATGATATAGCATCTGCGTTCCAGGTAAACATAATGATATGCCATAGGAATGGTGTTTTTCTAGTTGATTAATTATTTCTCTTTATATCTTTGTACTAGCTGGCACTACAGCAAAATATGTTTTTAGCGGCTTTTTTGTCATAGCGCCGTTAAATACAATTGTGGCAAAAAAACACCACCAAATTCGCCGTTGAAACCAACGTCGCAAAAGGTGGCGGTGTTTTTAGTCTAAAACACCGTTAATGGTTATGATTTTTCATAGCGTTTTTAGTATAATCGGGAATTCTGAAAAAGAAATTAGGGATCGGGTGGAGAAAATTGGGTTTTTTCTTATAAAACTTTGTGGCATTTTTTGAACCAAACGCCACTATAGAACAAACTATTGCGACATTTTCAAACCAAATGCCACTAACGGTTAAACATAAACGTTCCGAACTATTGCGGCGTTTGTTGAAAAACGCCACTAAAGAACAATTCTTTTGCGGCGTTTGTTTAGAAACACCACTAAATTATTAGGTTTTACCAGCGTTTGTCTAAAAACGACACAATATATACTCTATTGCGGCGTTTGTTTAAAAACGCCACTAAAGAACTTATATGTAGCGGCGTTTGTGAAATAAACGCTGCTAAAGTTACCATTTTGGATATAAACGCCACGATATGTATAAATTTAGTGGCGTTTGCTTTGAAAAGGCCACGACAAACGCCGCTATATACTTGTTTTGTTGTAGTGTATTGCGGCGTTGGTTGAAAAAATGCCATATAGATGAACCCTATTGTGGCGTTTGTCTAAAAACGCCGCTAAAGTTACCATTTTGTGGCGTTTGGAATGTAAATGCCGCTATATGTTTAAAGTTAGTGGCGTTTACTCTCAAAACGCCGCTGTAGAACAGTTTTGCTTGGTTTTAGAGTTTCTGTTTCTTCATCAATTTACCGTTTTCAAGACCCTTGCTGCTAGTTCTTTAATTTTAGAGTGAATTGCAAGAAAGACTAGTGCAATGTTTTTCTGGCAAGTAAGAAGGCTTACGATCTAATATTAAAATGAAATATATATAAAGCTTAATCTCCGTTTCTAGAATTTTAATTCTTGCGCTGGACATTCTGTGTTTGTGTACAGTCAAGAACCACATGGTGGTGCATACCAGATAAGGGCCTGCCTGTTTTAATAATATTTTGGTTTGTAATGGGTGATGTGGTGTTTACTTTTGTTTGGAAGATATAATTATTTATCCAAAAAAGAGGGAGTTTTACGTTTTCTGGTTACAAGTGACGTCATATCTTTCTTTTTGCTATCACTCTAAAATTCAGCTTGAGAATTGAAGTATCGACAGAAAATTCAGCAAGTGGAAAAAGACGAGGAGGGAAAGAATGTTATCCTTAACTCATGCCCTGGGGCAGAAGCCTGTGGGGGAATGTACACCGCAAATACCATGGCATCTGCAATTGAAGCTATGGGAATGTCTCTTCCTTATAGGTAGAACTATGCTCTCAGGATCATTTTGATTGTGAATTTGACATTCTGCCTTTTTTTTGTCTTACTATTGTTTGTTTGTACCTGACAAGCTGCTGAAGATCCATTGAAATTGGATGAATGCCGTCTGGCCGGAAAATACCTTCTAGCATTTGACTATGTTAATACCACGTTTAGCAGCCAGCATATGTGAAAGTGGATTTGGGGTTCGAATACAACAATTCTAATGTGGTCCTTATATTGTTCTTGAACAGGACTTTCTTCAACTGCTGAAGAATCTTCTATTGATAGCTATTAGATGGAATGTAAGTGTAAAGATTTATTTTGGGTAGAATTGATTGTAGATCAGAGTTTAAACCTTGACATTGTCATCATCTCCGTTCGTGGTGTAGAATGTGTAAGAAAAAAAAAATCCCACTTGTCTATACGCTTGTTGGATTTGATTCTTGTGATTACAGAAAATAGTTTATGAGAGCTTAATCGGTGTGTTTTAGAGAAAATTTTGTCGATCTGTTGTGTGGAATGTGTAACAACTCAGCAGACAATAGTGATTAATATTTTTTTTGTTGAACTCTGAGTATGCAAGCTCGAATACACACTACCAATTACCTTTATTAACCTTACTGTTTCTTTTTTGATGGGTTTTTACCCTACACAATTTGTGTCGTAATTAAATTTTAAGTTTATTTATTAGATAATGTTACATGTTATTAAATTTGGGTAATATAAAGTAGAAAATGATATATGCGAAAACATTTAGCCATAACGACGTTTGTAAAAAGCCACTAAAAGTTAGGTACTTTTGCGGCGTTTTGTGAAGAAAACGCCACTAATGGCATATACAATTGCAATGCTCGTAAAGAAAAACGTTCATATAGCGGCGTTTTATGAAAAATGGCACTAAAGACAAGGTAATTAGCGGCGTTGTAAAAAAAGCCGCTGTAACCTATTGCGGCCTTTATAAGAAAAACGTTGTTATAGAACTTTACCTTTTGTGGTGTTTTCTGTTCACAAACACAGTTAACTATTAAAACACTATTTTTAGCGGCACTCTTACTGACGTTGGGAAAGTTCTTAGCGACACTTAAAAACGCTGCTATAGAGCTAAAAAACGCCGTTAAAAACTTATTTTGCGAAATTCGAAGTTGAATCTGAAAACAAAAATTCAAAGTTATGTAATTTTCTTGTCTCCATAAATAGTGATCAAATTTCCCAGCCTTTCTACATTACTTAAACAGTTTATAACATCATATTTTGCCCTTCGTTTGGCATTAAAAAATGGGAAGATCTCGTAGCTGCATCGATGTCAATGGCTTGAAACGAGACCCCTGGACTCCCGAAGAAGATGAAAAGCTAATGGCTTACATCCAAAAACATGGCCATGGAAGCTGGCCTTTTTACCGGAGAAAGGTGGTCAATTTTATCATCCAAAAAGCTTTCCGAATTTGCAAATTCTTTACACCTTTTTAGTTCTAATTACCTTTTCGTTCGATTTTGATTCGAATCAGGTCTTCAAAGATACGGGAAAAAGTTGCAGACTGAGATGGATTAAAACACAATCATTCAACTCCATGCTCTCCTAGATGTATTAAAAGCACGGCAAAGACTGCAGCTCGAGGCGATAGTGATCAACGATAACATGGTGTCGTTCCGGTCAAACAATGTGAATGATAACGATGAAGGGATGTTCACCAAATGCATGTGGGAACTTGCAGCAGTACTAATGGGGATGATGAAATTAACGTGTTTAGTATCTAAACCATCAATTTTGGTTAAGTATAACCATCAGTTTTGGTATAATTTTTGAACAATATTAAAAACATATGTACTAAGACAGGCCATAAATAATGACCTAAGTAATATATACTAAAATATATTTAATATATATATTTAAATATATTCAATTTATAAGATCATAAGTCGTTTCTCCTAAATTTTTATGCATGTCATAATGACTAAGCTGATTCATGATATCTGTATCAAAATATATTAATTTGTACTTATCAGCAGCAATGCAACGCCAACCACTGAAGATAAGCAAAGCAGCCCACAAAATCAAATCAACACGTGTCATCATTACGTAATTTCCTTTTTAAATTTCTCCGAGATTTTATTGGATAATTTAGTAATAATTGTCTTCGTCTTTCTTTTGACACTCTCTCCCAAGCCTCGCTGCTTGAGATTTTAACAGACAAAAAAGAAAAAGAAAAAAGGAAGTTAAAGATGTCAACAGCTTCTTCTTTGTGTTCGTCAATTCAAGTCAATGGCTTTGGAGTGGGACTTAGGCATCCAAGAACCCATCTTTCTCAACCCAAGAACCTTACTTTTACAAGGTAATCTTGTTCAATTTTGAATCCCCTTTTCTTGGTTTCTGTTCTTGTTTGATCTTTCTAATTTGTGTGTGTTTTTTCATTAAAGTTTAGATGATAAAGAAGCAAATTTTTGGGGTATTGGGAAAAAACCCAGTCTAGAACTGTCGAAACTTCCTTGTAAAGGAACCCCAATTTTGTTTGAAAATTTCTTTTTATAACGTTTTCAATACGAATGAAGGTGCTTTGTGATGAAAGTAAAGGTCTTGTACGATTAATATATATTATACACATATTTACGTAATACATGTATCTCAAGAATATTTGGTGGCTAAAATTGTAATGAAAAACCTAAGGCTTTTATTTACAGTGTTGTAATTATTGATGACTTAAATGATTGGTGTATTGCCCTAGCAATTTCATGAATTTGTAGTTGTGTGTGATTGGTGCTTGCTTTGGCGCAAAATTGCTATCTCGAACATCTGTTTTGTGGTTGCGAATGTAACAGCTGATGTTGCAGCCAATTACGGTGAATAATGGCTGTCGAGACAGCCGGATCTGAAAAATAGAGTATGCAATCTTGCATTGCAATCACTATTTAAATCCCTTTGGACCATGGTCTTCGGTAGAGATTATCAATTATAATATTGTACTTGCAAATCACATTGAACATCTGAGTAAGTTTTTAATATTTATGCCTCTTCCTATAGTCTGTTTCACAATGTATTGTGTCCTTCCCTTATTTTGTTCCAAGTTCCCTGAAGATCATTGGTTCTGAGCGGCTTTTTTAGGCCAATAATTCAAAATATGTTGCTTGAAAAGATACGAAACAGATGTGTGATTTCAATCAGATTCAAGTTTTCTTCTTCCAGGTCTCATACAATATTCTAATATGCTTTGTTACTTTGTTTTCTTAAACTGTTAGGAGGAGAATCACTACAGTAGTGAAGGCGACCTCTCGAGTCGATAAATTCTCAAAAAGCGATATCATTGTTTCTCCATCTATTCTCTCTGCTAATTTCGCAAAGTTGGGAGAGCAGGTTTTATATTACTCTTTCTTTTACTTGTACTATGAAACTATTTTTTGACTTTTCCTGTAAACAATGGACTATGATCTGCACGATTGCTTTGGTATTGAACTCAATTTGGATAGTCTTTGTAGTTTGAATGTCACTATTTTCTAGGTGAAAGCGGTAGAAGTAGCAGGCTGTGATTGGATCCATGTCGATGTAATGGATGGCCGATTCGTTCCAAACATTACAATTGGACCTCTTGTGGTTGATGCCTTACGACCCGTGACAGATCTTCCACTAGATGTGCATTTGGTATGCCTCATTTTGCATTACTAATAAACCGGTATCAATAAAAAAAAAAATTTTTGCTCACCCTGAGATCAATGCACTGCAGATGATTGTTGAACCAGAGCAGCGAGTTCCGGATTTTATCAAGGCTGGAGCAGACATTGTCAGTGTCCATTGTGAGCAATCGTCAACCATCCATTTGCATCGTACAGTTAATCAAGTAAGACTTTTTCTTTCTCCAAGCTGTTCTTACTTGCTTTCCATGAAACTAGTACTTTAGATACGATATCGGAATGGAGTCTGGCAAATATTATCATCAAATAAGTTGAGACTCAAGATTGAATGCATTTCATAACAGCAAGCTCTTATAAACTGGAAGTAAGCGTTTCTTTTTCCTTGCAAAATTTCATTTTCTTTTTTAACTCGGAAGTTTCCATCTTATTTAGTATTTTGCTACATGGATTCTGGCTTTTGGTTAAAAACTACAGATAGAGAAATTTATACATGTTGAACCCTATATCGAGCTTCATACCACATGATATAATGAATTCGTAGGAGCCTATAAAATTCCGCAGAATTCAACCTGTTCAAGCTAGCTCTGTGTTTTGAACTTATTTTTCCTCGCTCGCACCTTGTATAATGCATCACTGTTGCTTAAAATTTCGTGGTGAGCAAGTCAGAAAGTTGTCTTTCACAGGTTGTGGTTTTTACGATCATTGAGGTGCTGCTGATACTCTCAAATTTTTGTGATTGTTTTCCATCCTATGCTTAATAATATATCTTGTTAGCTTGCTTATGCTATTGCCTGCATTGCTTTGATTAAATAGCCCAAATATTTTTCGGAACTTTTGTTGTTGTGTAGATAAAAAGTCTGGGTGCTAAAGCTGGAGTCGTCTTAAACCCCGCAACTCCACTTACTACTATAGAATATGTACTCGATGGTGAGTTTTTATTGTCAACTTCTTTTCCAATTTATTGTCTCTGTCAAAAGACATTCTGTACACAGCTCAATGCGTACCAGGGCCGATCGGTAGATCAATGCTAGAGCTTGCTTATTGATAACGGTGGAATGAAGGATGATGAGATAGTTGATAGAATGTTCTAAGAATGGTGTTTTTTCCCTTGCAAAAACAGAAGCATGATCTTAACGTTTACTGTACAGATGTTTCGAGTTCATTTGACTAAATTCAATGAAAAACTAACATGATAATCTCTGTTTTGCATTTGTACAGTGGTTGATCTAGTCTTGATTATGTCGGTCAATCCTGGCTTTGGTGGGCAGAGCTTTATCGAGAGTCAAGTGAAGAAAATCTCCGACTTGAGACGATTGTGCGCGGAGAAGGTATAAATTGCTTCTATCTATATGTCCATCTTTTATATATTTATGCTGTAGAATCTTGTGACGTTTTCTTCATATATATCCCTTGCAGGGGGTTAATCCATGGATTGAAGTTGATGGTGGAGTTGGTCCAAAAAATGCATACAAGGTAACCCATTAGAATGGTGTGCTTATTCCTGACAACATTCATCTGTACACTCTATGCATAACCTGTGTCCTAGAATTTTATAAGTTACCATTTGTCGAGTCACAGCCCTAGAATTGCTTTACCATCGACCTTCCAGTTATCAGAACGATATTTCAAAAGAATGTGTGGTTTTTCTGCTATAACTCTCCCCCTTCCCCTTTTGCTGGAAGGTTATTGAAGCAGGAGCAAATGCTCTAGTCGCTGGTTCAGCTGTATTTGGTGCCAAAGATTATGCTGAAGGTAAAGAAAGGGTATTATTTATTACTTTCCATTCGTATAAATCAATGCATTTTAACGAATTTTATGCTCGAACAATTTAAACAGCTGTTAGAGGAATCAAAACCAGCAAAAGGCCAGAAGCAGTGGCAGTGTGATTATACTGCCGAAAGGTCGGCTCCAACGTATGATATCTGTATTTTACATTTCCATGTAACTTCATAGAATTTTGTTCAAATGTATAACCGAATGTTGTATATGCTCGTTGGATTGCATGAATCCTGCTATACATGATGCAGAATGGAAATGCAGATTCATCAAGGATATTAAGGATAATTGGAAACAGAAATTTAAATTACGGAACATAATTTATTGCCTGCTACATCAGTTACGTCAACAACCATGATAATGTAGCACAGACTTACAGTTTGGAATATTTTTTGGGGTCAAAACTCAGGCAGGCTTGATATTCGGAGATAGTAGTCGTATGTTTTCATGCCTAGAGTCAAGTAGTAGGGTTTCGTATATATCATCCTTTAAAGGATGATCATCGTCCCCGGAGACAAATTCACTGATTTTGCTCGTCACCTCGATAGAACTACACCCAGGAGCCTTTCTCAGCTGCTTTATCTGATCTCTAACTCTAACCTTTTTATCCCACATCCCTTTGGCAGCATAGATATTGGACATCGCAACACTGTCCCCAACATATCCAGGCTCCGGCTCCAGCAATTGCAGCATAACTTTTTCACCAAGCTCTATTTCTCCGTTGACGCTACAAGCTCCCAACAATGTCATCCACATCACTGCATTATCCCGGCTAGGCATCTCGATAATGAAATCATAAGCATCTTTTAGCAGCCCGGCTCGGCAAAAGAGATCAACCATGCAACCAAAATGAACATATCGAGGCTTCAAACCATTCCTCCATGGCTACAAGCCATCAAAACCCCAACAAAAGTAACATCGTTGGGAAGAATTATTGAGCTTCCACAATTACCCTCTTCCTTATTCTTGCTATTCTTCTGTTTTATCTCTTCCATTTCACCAAAAAGCTCAAGAGCTTCACTTGCTTGTCCATGCAATGCATGCGCCACGATCATGGAAGTCCGGATTGTCACATCCTTTTCCCCTATGCTATCAAACAGTTTCCTCGCAGTTTGTATCTCGCCACATTTCGCATACATGTTAATGAAAGCGTTGTCAAGGCTCAAGTCTGCCTGGAGCTCCAGTTTTTGGCGAACGTATGTGTGGATCCACTTTCCCATTTCTAACGAACCGAGATCAGCACAAGCGGAGAGAGCAACCGTCAGTGTCACTTGGTCAGTTTCCACATTAAGCATCTGCATCTTCCTGAACAACTCTAAAGCCTTTTGGGGCTTCTGGTTGACAACATAAGCCGAAATCAAAGTAGTCCAGAAACGATATTCCTTTCCTGCTGGGTATTTCATCGAACACGTAGTGTGCATCGTGAAAATTACCTTATGCCTAGCAGAATTTAACAAGTACTGTCTGCAGGTGAATGATGGAGCGAAACCCAGATTTTATTAGTTGCGTATGTAACTGTTTGCCTTCAAGTGAGTAAGGCTTTTTGGTGCAAGCTTTTAAGACAAAAAGGAAAGAGAAGCTGTCAATAGATGAAGGATTCTGCCTTAGTAATTCTCTAAAGAATAAGATGGCTTTGGTGTTGCAATTGGAGTTGAGATATCTTTTAAGATTTTGGTTCGCTTTGGGTGGTTTAAGGTTCGTGTTGACGTATATTCTTGCAAAAGACTTAATCAGAGGAACCCTCTTAAGGACTTTCATCATCATCAAAAGCCACTTCTAGTTGTGTATTGTTAAACTTTCGTCTTTCAAATGTTAGTTAAAGAAGCCATTCCCGGCAATCCATCCAACTCCAGAGCTCTATACCGACACCTCGTTTCCCTTCTGCAGAATCCTAAGATCCTCAAAAAGCTTACCCAAATTCACACTCAGATCATCACTAATGGGTTTTCCCAGAAAAATTACATCCTAGCTAACCTTTTTTCAGTCTACGCTACTTCAAGTAATCTCCAACAGGCGTGTAAACTGTTTGAAACTATCGAAAAACCAAGTACTACAGCCTGGAACCAGATCATCAGAGGGTGTTCAAGGACTTCAATCCCTGAAAGATCAGTCGAGTTGTACAAGAAGATGGTTGCAACGGGAGTGATTCCTGATGGGTTTAATTATTCATATGTTTTGAGTGCTTGTGCGAGGTCGGGGATGTTGAGAGAAGGGGAGCAGATTCATGGACGAGTTTTGGTCGATGGGTATTATTGCTCCAATGTGTTCGTGAGAACAAATTTGATTAATTTATATGCAGTGGCTGGTGTTGGCAATGACATTGGTTATGCACGTAAGTTGTTTGATGAAATGCGCGAGAGAAATGTGGTGAGCTGGAATTCGTTGTTGGCTGGCTTATTAGGTGTGGAATCTTGATATGGCGAGTAGAGTTTTTGATGAGATGCCGGAGAAGAATGTGGTGTCGTGGATGACGATGATTGCCGGGTTTGCTAAGAACAGGAGGTGTAGGCAAGCTCTGTGTTTTTTTAATCAGACGAGGAGAGCTCGTGTGGAACCGGATCAGGTAGTGTTGGTGGCGGCATTACCTGCGCCGAAATGGGAGATTTGGAACTGGGGAAATGGATTCACTCGTACATCAAAGAGACGGCTCTGTTTCGGGACCGGCCATTGTTGGTGTCTTCGAACAATTCACTAATACACATGTATGCTAGTTGTGGTTGGATTGAAGAAGCTTACGAAGTACTTCGATACATGCAGGAAAGAAGTATGGTTTCTTGGACAAATATGATCACGGGCTTATCGAAGCACGGTTTCGCACAAGAAGCAATTTTGTTATTTGAATGTATGATCAGCTTAAGGGAGCGAGGAGTCAAACCAGATGAAATAACTTACATTGTAGTTCTCTTTGCTTGCAGTCATGCCGGATTTGTCGAGGAGGGTCGGCATTACTTCACTCAAATGACTAGACATTGGGGAATTAATCCCGGGATTGAGCACTATTGCTGCATGGTTGATCTTCTCAGCCGTGCCGGTTTCTTGGATAAAGCATTGAATCTCATCGAAACCATGCCCGTAAAACTGAATGACGCAGTATGGGATGCCCTACTCGGCGGTTGTAGGATTCACAAGAATGTTGATCTTGCTTCACGAGTAGCTCGAAAGTTCGATGCCGAGCTTTATTGTAACGATTCTGCGGGGTATCTGACGCTGTTGTCAAATGTGTATGCTACCACCAGGAGGTGGCAGGATGTTGCTGATGTGAGGCAAAAGATGATCGATTCGGGCATTAAAAAGTCCGCGGTTCGGAGTTCGGTTCAGATCAATGGAGTCATTCATGATTTCCAGGCAGGCGACAGCAGCAGCAAGCATGCATCTTCAATCAACGATATCCTATGGCAAGTCACTAGACAGAGAAGAATGTGGTAAGTTATTGTGTTTTATAATAAATTATGGAAATTAAAAAGAAAACTCATGATTGTGATACTTGCAGTCATCATAGTAGCATCTCAGTATGTCCCAACCGCAATTCTTTGTAAATTACTTCTTGTATTCCTAAATTTAAAGGTAAGCATTCAGTTAAGTTATTCGAGTTGACGAATCTTATTTTATAATTCAAATTTCATTTAAAATTTTATCGAATCAAGTTAAATTATTTGAATTTATATTTAGATTTAATTATAAATATTTATAATTTCATGATAATATACTATTCTAATTTAAATAGTTTTCTATAATCATATCCATATATAACGTAGAGTTGAGTTACTCAACTCAAACTTAAAAATCAACCTACTAATTACTTATTCGAACTTTATTTTATTACTTAAATTTAACTTTTTTTTTCAAATGGAATTGAATTTATAAAAGCATGAGTCAAATAAAAAGCTTTAATTTTTCCCAGAACTAGTAAATCAAAACAGGGATGGCTTGCAGTTATGGTGATTGTGCGAAGAATATTCCTTGTCTACATCTGGTGTTTAACTTCCTGGGCGGGTTGTTTCTATGTTCTTCCTACGTGAACAGGAAACCCACCCAACCAAGTAACTGAGAAAACCATAAATCCTTCTCCTATAAAGTGTCGGTTTGTTAATCCATGGTGCAATTGCAGCGTCCACCCCTCTAATCTCCCCCTTCTTCATTTCCAAGTTTTTAAGACCACAACAATTTGCTTTTCTCTTCCGGAATGGATCCGACCCCGACGTCCGATGCCCGTCCCGAAATCTGCTTCTTCGATTTGGAAACCACCGTCCCCCACCGGCGTGGCCAAGGCTACGACATTCTCGAATTCGGCGCCATTTTAGTCTGCCCCAGAAGGCTCCTTGAGCTAGACAGCTACTCCTTCCTGGTCCGACCCGATGACCTCTCTTCCGTTTCCCCTTCCTCCGTGCGCTGCAACGGCATCACTCGGGACGATGTCGCTTCGGCGCCTCCCTTCTCCGAAATTGCCGACAAAGTTCACGACATTCTCCATGGTGCACATCTCGCATTCAAATTTCCTTTTTTTTTTCTTTTCCGTTCTTTTTTTCTTTTTGGTTCCTTCTCTTTTAAGTAAGGTTTTAAATGAATTCTGTAGGAAGGGTTTGGGCGGGGCATAATATAGTGAGGTTTGATTGCGTGAGAATAAGGGAGGCGTTCGAGAAGATCGGTAGGCCGGCGCCGGAGCCCAAGGGACTTATTGATTCATTGCCGCTGTTGACACAAAGGTTCGGAAGGAGAGCTGGTAATATGAAGGTAATTTTTTTTAAAAAAATCACATGACAAACCTTTGATTTCGTTTGCCAATAAGATTAAGAAAAAGATATGGACACCATTGCTGAATTATAAGGTTTGTAAGTCTGAGATTAATATGAAAATTTGGTTGATAACATGTTTATGTTCTTGAATATTGAATGCAGATGGCGACTCTTGCAAAATATTTCGAGATCGGGGTGCAGTCACACAGGCAAATGAATATAAATTATGTTCTTCACCTTTGGATGGAATCTATATATCTTGGTAACAATCTTTCTGCTATGTGATTATTCAGGAGCTTGGACGATGTTCGAATGAACCTCGAAGTTGTCAAGTACTGTGCTACAGTTTTGTTCCTGGTATGGCAGTTTCCGATAGCCAAATGCAGTAGCATTTCTCTTATTTCTATGTTCCACCAACAGCCGTGTGGTCCGTTGGTTGAGTTCTGTATTCTGAAGTCGCAAATTTAATCGCCATATTCGACTTGCCTTAACTTGGGGTAAATTGAGCATGCTTTGTAAGATTAATTATCCAAATTTTTACCAAAATCTTATATTTATCTGCAGGAATCAAGTCTCCCGGATATACTGATGGCGAATGGAACAGGTTTGCCAATATCGACGAGAAGTAGCAGTAATACCAAGTCATCTCCCGAGCAGCTTAGCCCGAACATGAACAACTTTTCTTCAACTACCGAAAATGTTCCAATTCCTATAACCTCTCTTCCGACTCATCACACTGGAGAGGCAAATGCAGATGTGTCTAATCTGGTTCAACCAGATCCTTTCGACATGGGCGTACTCAGAAATGAAATGAAACCCGAGGCCCTCGAATCAGATGTCATCATGGAAGAAAAAACTCAGCTAGAGTCTCATGAGATAGAGATTGCTGAAGGTAGTAGCAGTAATGCAGAGTTCTTAGAACCTAATGAAGTTTCTCCAAGCTCTATCAGTGCATCTCTCATCCCATATTACCATGGCACCCATCGAATAAGACTGTTTCATGAAAACACTGCTCTGCAATTGTTTTGTCCTTGTTTGAGAGTGCGATTTGGAGTCAATGGAAAGTTCCTTGATCAAGCCGGCCGGCCACGTTTGAGCTTTGTAGTCAATGCTTCTCCGAGTTTATGTGAGATTCTGGATGCTTGTGACAATGCTGCAAAAACGGTCTTTGAAGATTGCGGAAGCAGTTCCGATTGGAAGCCTATCATGGCAGGAATTACCAGTACATCAACAATCCAACCGTGAGACTGAAGTAAGTTCCCGTATTGTTCCGAAAATAAAATTAGACAGTTTAAGACATGCACTTGAATCTTGTAATAATTTTGTCGATTCGTTGATTCCTTTCTGGCAGCATACCCACAGTAGCCAACTATGATATCACCCGATACGCTGCGGAGATTCATCAGAAGGACAGCTCCGGTACCGTGCAAAAGCTTGTATTCAGCAAAATCGATGCTGCTGAGCTTGGTAACTTGTTGAGAGCTGGGATCTTTGTGGATGCATTCTTCAGCTTGGATACTTACGATTATCAGGGAACGGCAGGCATCCGGCTGGTGGCGAAAAAGCTGGTTATACATTCGGATTAGTGGAGTTAAAGGGCAAAGATTAATCCATTTTCAGATTGTTTACAGACATGTAATAGCGTTGTTTATGTTATAGTCTAACTCATAGGCATAAGTTGCTCTCTCACATTCATAGCTTTGTACCAAAAGAAAGAAATAAACAAAGATTGATTGATTTTCACTGCTGTAAATTTATGCAATTGTAATTTACCGAAAATAAACAAAGAACATTGCAAGAATATATAACAAATGCATACCAGAGCCAGGAATGCGCTGTTCATCCCAACATAGTGAGGTAGTAATAAAAGACACTTAATCTCACTACGCTGTAGAACTCGAGAACCTGAAGTACTGTACATGATTCGATCAGAGTAAATGATAATAACAAACTAAACATTCTAAACGACTATTCGTCGGCATAAATTATGCTTCCCTCTTCGTTATTACCCCTCTTTCGCATCTCGACGAATAAGACATGAACACAATAACTCTTTATTGAATTCAATATGATTATTTAACACCCCCAACCCGTACCTGACCCGAATACGAGTTCGAGATATCACATTGCCTTTTTAAAACAATATTCTTATCAAATAACTGAATATTTGAACTTATTTTAAGAAAATACGATAATATACTATTAAATAATATTTGTTATAAAATTTTGAGACAAAAACATATTTATGAACAGTAAAATACGGTATGAACAGTACAGTGAAAAGTACTCATTGCAAAAATTTTCCAAATTACAAATAGGGAACTGATTCCCTTGCTACAGGGAACTGATTCCCTGCTACAGTACTTCCGTAAAACATTCATAAAACTTGTAAAAATTTAACCGTTCATTACTATACATTTACATTTACATAAATACTTTCAAATCATTAGAAAAGTCGATCAGAGCGTTCGTACTAACAACTTATTACATTTCTTACATGCCAACATACTTTATATAATCAAAATACATACTTTATTGTTTACTTATGATCTTATCTTTCTAGTAATGGTGTTGTTTTTGTCACTTCTATTTCTGTTATTCTTGTTTTTTGTACCTACGTGTAAATCACTTATACGCTAAGTCATAGACTTAGTGAGACATATAAATATAATAATTATGCCTTCCTTATGAATATGAACATGCAATCTATCCATTCAATCATGTCACATGTAATTCAATGTAAACGATAATAACATGGTAACATATAACAATAATAATGCAATTACCTTTGATAACATTTTATAAGCCCATGTACATTACTGAGAACTCAAGGTATTCGAGTACATTGAGGTTGTGCACTATTGCTGTCACCACAGATCGTATAAGTCCCACTGAGTGACATATGAAATTTGTCCCGAAGGACCACTGTATTGTCCCGAAAGACCTATGAAACCCTCGACTCTTGGCATGCCAACTATACATATAGCTCTCATATCGTATACTATGGGCATTATTCTTATGTTTCATATGTTCATGTGTTCATGTCATTTCTCTTGTGATCACATAGTTCATATCACTTATCATATCACATGTGCATTTGAATCTATCCACATATATCATTTATCAAATCATATGAACATATATACCTTATGCATGTATCATAGTAATTATCATGTAAGCATGTTCATAACTATTGTACTATAAAAATCAACATAGGAATTAGACTTATCACAAGTCTTATTCCATTATACTATACTTATAATATGCACTCACCTTAGCCTTGTTGGATTTGAACCAATTCTAGAACTTATCTCTTTCTTAATCATTCTAATCCCTCGATCGTTCTTTTTTATCACTTGTTCCGGAACTCTTTTAGGCTCAATATCTATATAAACATAATTTCTGAGACAATTATCAAAAGCCTAAACCTTATAACTTGATACTAATAGCTTAAACAAATTTAATGAACAAAACTTCAATTTTTCCTTTAGGGGGAATCGATTCCCCCCAGGAGGTATCGGTTCCCTTTGTATAATCTCTAAAATTTACTCAGATTTTACTGTTCAAACCCGAAAATCATCAACTCTTCACTAAATTTTCTCATAAAAGTTCCTTTCATACCACCAAACTTAACTACAACCATTTTAACTAACTTCTATCATTTCAACACTTTATTATTTCCAATACTTCATTCAAATTCTTAAAACCAATAATCATACCCAAATTTCAAACATGTTATTAATTAATTCTAACACTCCTAACCCTTTAATTAACCTCTTGACAAGTCGAAAATCTTATTCAACCCTTAAAAACTCATCAATATCGAAATTTCATCTAAAGCCCATTTCTCAAATCTTTCTTTAAAACATTTATCTTGTTGTTTTAATGTCATATAAGCTTGCCTTTAGCTTATATAACATCCAAACTTCCATTTCCAAACTAAAAATCAAAGAAACGACCAAGGTTCAAATTCTTACCTTGAGCTTGGGTGCTTCACGTTTGGGAGAAGAAGATGAAGAAGATAAGTCTCTGGAAACTTATCTCCTCAATTCATTCACATGGGTATTATAATACCCACAATTATTATTTTATTCTTTTATTTGCTCAATGACCCTTTTACCATTATTATAATTCCATATTTACTATCATACCCAACATACAAAATTCCTCTATAAATCACTAGACTTATCACTTTATTCTAATTCACCAACAAAATTTATAAATTCTTATAATTTAGTAACTTACCCGGTAATTGGGATGTTACAGATTATACCAATCAAGATGAAATGTATGGCAACTAAAGTTGGTTTGTCACCTGAGGAACTACATTACCTATATGATGTGATTAATACCTGTTTCGATCACTAGCTCTTTGATTCGATTTTTCCATTTAATGAAAAACGTCGTGTCGTCCCTGATCCTCTTAATGTTGGGGCCTAACAATCCCCTATGTCTAAACCCGTAAAGCTTAAGCACCTGGTTATCGACAAAATTGAAAGCCCTTTGCATGTTGCGCAGACACCTGTCTATAGAGTAATCTCCGTAACTCCCACAGGGCTTGCAGCCGACGAAATGAGTCACGACTAGCCACCTCTCTTCTCTCAATCCCGGATGATATTTTTCCATCATCTTTTCGTACCTATCAACCAACCCTGCCCAATAAACATGCAAATAATATTGATTTTCAATGAAAACTTTGTCCATCCATTGATCTTTTTGCGAAAGCAACAAGTAAATCAAAGCCAACTGATCATCGGCTTCGAATGCCGACCTCCCTTTCAAATTTGCAGTCAAAACCTTCTCGGCCTCATCACGAATTGGGCCCTTAGGCCCCATCGGCTCCCATGCATCAAGCAAATCTAATGATCACTAGCAATTTCTAAATAGAAAACTCCCTATATTCAATCCAATCCATGAATTTTGCTCAAACAGTAAATCGGGGTAGCCATGAATAACCAAATTATGTTTATCGTACTTGGACAATGGAATCTCAAACACCATATCCGTAAAGAAAGCATCACTATCCATCCACCAAATCCACTCGAGTTCAGGATGAGAAAACATTAACCTTTCGCTGCTGATCCCAGTCCGAAATTTTAGGTTTGAGAGTGTATGTAACGTTAGGATTGAACTCAGGTTCATCCGGGTCGGTAGGGTCGGAGTCGGAGCGGATTTCAGGAATGATCCAGTTTGTTTCTTCGACCAGGTTTTGGTTGATGGCTTCCGCTTCTGAGCTCCCCAAATTCCCGACGCCGATTGTGCCGCGCAAGACGAGGATCGTAACCAAGCCGCAAATGATTGTCATCTAAATGTTATTGAGCCTCTTGGGCATCTGCCTCCCACGAGGCATTCCGAGAAATCCACGGTTCCTTCTGCCACCAACAGCATCGTAGTTATTTACAGGTAAACCTCCGCCGCCGCCAGTTGAATATCTCTTATTGGGAGTGAAATTATCTTGACCCATAAGGGTAATTCGCCATGCTTGAAAAGATTCAAGTTTCTTCTTTAATCTCTTATTATATAAAACTTAATTAAATCTCCCTAAATGATACGCAGATAGCAATTGCCATTGACATTCAGGCTTCAATTCTTTGTCATTTTTACAGTACCTTTTTTTATTGAAGATTAAAAACTGATGAGAATTAAAACCCCTAAAAAGATGGAATGGTTGAAGGAAGATGATGGAAAGTTGAGGGAATAACTGATCCTATTGATGAATTGGTAGACTTGTCATGGTTATGCGTTGCCATGTCCCCCAACCCTTTCTCTTTTTTCCTTTTATCAGTTGAATAAAGTAATTATTTTATGAGAAAATAACTTCAGTGATCAAAAATGCCTTATAATATACGATTTTAACCAACTTTTTTTGGATTTGCCAAAATGACCAACAAAATCGCAATGCGAAATAAAAATCGCAACGCGATCTCCAGAATCGTAAATCAGTTCCCAGAATCGCAACGTGATTATAAAGAATCGCAATGCGATAGTACAAATTCGCATTGCGATTTTCCAGAATCGCAACGCGAATATGAAAATCGCAACGCGATTCTGACTATCGCAACGAGTATCCGTAAAATCGTAACGCGTATCCGTAAATCGCAACGACAATATGTAAAATCGCAACGCGTATCCGTAAATCACAACGAGAATACGTAAATCGCAACGCGTATCTGTAAATCCCAACGAGAATACGTAAATCGTAATGCGTATCCGTAAATCGCAATGCGAATACGTAAATCGCAATGCGAATCTGTAAATCGCAACGAGATTCTGACTATCGCAATACTGAATTTCAAATTCGCAACTCGATTTCTGAATTCGCAACAGGTTTTAATTTCGCAACACAAATGTTTTGGGTATATAACTACGCAACAGCAGCAACTCATAACCTAAATCCCTAAATCGCAACATATTCCATCTCCATCTATCACTCTCTCCGGCGACATCCGTTCCTATATCCAACGACATCCTTCCCCATCCGGCAACAAGTTTTAGTTTCGCAGCTCGTTTGTTTAGTAAATTAATTTACAATAATGAAATCATCTAATGTTGATCATGTTTGTATAAATTTGTGTTTTGGAGGGTCATGGGAGAATGTTCATGGTGTTTTACAATATATGCCTTTACCCATGAATCTTCAACTAAAACTGTCATTAAAAAAGTTAACTTATGAAACTCTAATGTTACGTGTTGCAAATAAATTGAATTTAGAGCCCCTAAGTGGATTTAGGTTATCTTATCATACAAATGGTAAAGTTTATTTGTTAACCGACAATGAAGATGTTGAACGATTCATTG